TAGAAATTAAATATTTTGTTTATTTATGTATTTATTTATTTGAGAGGCAGAGTTATAGACAGAGAGAGGGAGAGACAGAGAGAAAGGTCTTCCATCTGCTGGTTCACTCCCCAGATGGCCACAACAGCTGGAGCTGGGCTTGATCCAAAGCCAGGAGCCAGGAGCTTCTTTTTCTGGGTCTCTCACATGGGTGCAGGGGCTCAAGCACTTGGCAAATAAGATTTTCCACTGCTTTTCAAGTTCATAAGCAGAGACCTGGATTGGTGGATTGGAAGAGGAGCAGCCGGACACAAACTGCCGCCCATATGGGATGCCGGTGCCGTAGGCGGAGGCTTAGCCTACTAAACCACAGTGCTGGCCCCTCTCTCTAGAAATTAGAACCAAGTCGTCTATCAGAGAGACGTCGGCTGTCTCCCGACCTGCTTTCACCATCTCTCCATTTTCCTCTCTATGGTTTCCCATTGCTCTCTGTAGACCTCTCCCAGCTTTGTGGAGTCAGTTGAGGAGTGGGTATGAACTGTTTTTGGAATAGTGTTTTCCTTTAAAGAATTCGTCTTCCTTAGAACAGTACTCACTAATGTAGAAACAGCCTCGCTGCAGTGGGCATGAGGCCCATCCTGAGATTTTCCTAGCTGGGGACCGGTTCATAAAGGAGTCAATGAAAGCCCAAGAAAGGATGGAACAACAACAAAACTAGTTTTGATCCAAGTATGAGGACCACTTCTCCCTCACTAGTATACGTTGTTTAGCAGGTAGGGTGGAGGGAACCTTCACTGCAAACTCAGGGTCTGGCTCAGTGGTCAGCTCTCCAACCTCCCTCTCCCATTGGTCTCTCCCAACTCCAGCCTCTCACTCTTGCTAGCTCAGATGGATGTCTATCTCTGCATAAGCTCCAGATACAGAAATCAGTCGGGAGAGTCCAGAAAGAAATGAAAAAGGGAGGAGGAGGGGATCTTTGCAGGAGTTGAATGAGATCCTATCAGGCAAGTATGAAAGATGACAAGGAAAATGGTCCAAGGGGACCCTCCCCACTTCTCTTGAGCAACTCCATTGAAGAGAAAGCTATGGAGCAAATGCTCAGGGCAACCCATGGATAGGCAATCTTTTAATACAGAACTACTGTCCCCATTGGTAGACATGTGTGCGGGCCTTTCATTGTATCTGCTGCAAATTACAATGAATGAAACAGAGGACTCTAAATAAAAGTGGCTTAACGGCGCCGCAGCTCAATAGGCTAATCCTCCACCTAGCGGCGCCAGCACACCGGGTTCTAGTCCCGATTGGGGCGCCAGATTCTGTCCCAGTTGCCCCTCTTCCAGGCCAGCTCTCTGCTGTGGCCCGGGAGGGCAGTGGAGGATGGCCCAGGTGCTTGAGCCCTGCACCCCATGGGAGACCAGGAGAAGCACCTGGCTCCTGCCATCGGATCAGCGCGGTGTGCCGGCCGCAGCGCGCCGGCCGCGGCGGCCATTGGAGGGTGAACCAACGGCAAAGGAAGACCTTTCTCTCTGTCTCTCTCTCTCTCACTGTCCACTCTGCCTGTCAAAAAAAAAAAAAAAAAAAAGCTAATATTTTATAAACATTAGCTGGAAATATCCATGGAACTCTCAGTAATACATAGACTTGACTTTAAGCTAAACCCTCCAAACATTTATGAGGCTGCAAATGGTTCAACATAAAGGAATGATCTGGGAAACCAGCAAAGCGTGCTCTTCAAAAACAGATAAAGGAAGCAACACCGGTCCTACTCATGGCCCCAGCTCCAGAACCTAACACTGAATGAACTACAGCAGCTTCCTAGGTACTGTGTGGTCTTGGCTTCCCTGCATTCTGTACCTTTGCTTTATGTTCTAACCCTGTGCTATAGAATGCCCCTCTACTCTGGGATCTCTAATGCCTATAGGTCCTGCCTCCTGTGGAAGGTTCCAGGTCTTTCCACATTTGTCCCACCTGGACTGAGCTGAAGCTGTCATTATTGATGCTCCCAGAGACCTGCCCTCAAGGCCTACTGAGCACTGGGAAGTCTCTGGGCTTGGCTCACCCCTCAAATTTGATGTTTCCCCTCCTCCACTTTGCACTTTTCAGACTTTGGTAACATGCGCCACTTCATTGGCAGTACGTTAGAAGTTTTTTGTACAATCTCCTTAGCTGGGTAGGACACTTCTAATGCAATTTTTCCTTCTCCTGGAAAGTGAATGGGTGAAGAGTGACCTGCTGTTCTCAAGCAAGCTGTTAACAAGGTCTCTGTGCCCCTTCCAGAAAGACGGGCTGCACATCTTCCCCAAGGGAGAGGAACATATATGCCAACTGTGACCCTGCTCTCTGCCTCTTTGTGGAGCGCTCCTGCGCGCTGCACTTTTCAGGTATGTGTCACTTAAACAATTTGGGTAGAAATTTGACCTATGCGCACTGACAAAAGTTTAGCAAAATTAGAATGTATGCCTCCATGAGTTCATAATTTATGCCCTAAAGAAGGTAAGGAAAGCAACCAGGACAGCATCTGGCCCTGCCCAGATGCTGGAAGCCCCACAGGAGCTTGGGCCCAGGCTATAGACAAAGACTTCTGTCTCCACCCAGCCATCGCCGAGGGAACCATCTGTCTTCCTTTGGGAACTAAAATAGGTTGGAGCACCAGATCATCTCAGTTTGGGCAGAGAGCTCAAAGCATGAATGGTATGTGCCATGACCTGGCATTAAGCTGAAAAGGGAATAAAGGGAGAGGGAAAGAGTTTGTGGTTTCTGTCTAGGTGTCCTTCTCCTTCCAAGAAAAAGAAAAAGAAATATAGCCTAGTGAAGAGGAATGTTTCTGGTTTGGATATGCTCTGTGTGTCCCCCAAAGGCTCCTGTGCTAGAAGCTTGGTCCTAGGTGCAGTGGTGTTTACTGATGGTGGATCTTTAAAAGTGAGGCCTAGTGGAAGGTTATTAGGTCAGGGGCACCACCCTTAGAAGGAACTGAAGCAGGTCCACGGGACCAAGAAGTTCTCAGAGGAACAGGTTGTTAGAGAAGGCGGCTGCCTCGTGTACTTAGTCCCTTCTACTCTTGGTTGGTTCTCCTGCTTTAGTACCATCCTGTGACACAGCCAGGCTGGCATCAAGCTGGCCAGAATTGTGTTAGTGTTGCGAGCGTAGCATGGGCAACGAGGCAATGTTGGTTCCAATAAGGATTTTATCATGCAGTGGGGAAGTCACACATTCTAATTCTCACAACACACTGGGCGAACGGACCACCCAGGGTTCCCAAAGTACCTCTGGTGTTCCTCACCCATGTCTTAGCCACAGAGGGCAGACTCTCACGGCATCCGCATGGGTGGTGCCGCTGAGCAGAACGCAGGTCTCAGACGGCGAGTAGCGTCTCGGCTTTGGGCGAGCAGGGCTTCAAGTCAGGCTAGCTCAGAGCCTCAGCATGAGGTGAGCACAGGGCTGGCTGCGAGAACTCTCTTGTGGGAAGGGCTGAGTGCAGTGGGCCAACCGGAGCTTTCACTCTGCGCTCTCACGAGAGTGTTCAGAGTCTCTCTGGGCCTCTTCAGAGTGCAGTTTATATACAGTTTTGGCAGTCAGCATAGGGCTGATAAGGTCCCCAGGAGGGTGTGTGGGCCAAGGGTGGTTCCTATCAAGTCCATGCAGATCTCCTGCAGTTGGCTCAGCTCTTGCTTATTTCTTGTTAATATTATGGTAAAGCTGTTTAATTTCTGCTCCTTACAGTCAGTCAAACTTCTTTTCTTTATACATGGCCCAGCAAGAGTTCTCTGGCACAACCACACGTAACACCCCGGACAGGACACCCTGGTATTGGCGGGCCTAAACGCAACAGAGGCAGCCCTCCTGCTCACTCCACACCTAGGTATACAGATCCCTTCTCTCGGTTTCACGCTTCTTGATGGGTAGGCACAAATGAGGCCAAAACATCCACCTGCTCCTCCAGTTCATTCTATTCCTCCTTTTCTGTGAGTAGGGATGTCTTGATTTTGCTCAGAGTGTGTTGTGCGAGTGGTGGTGGTGGTGCTGATTTGGCTCCCAAAAACACTGTTTTCCAAAAATTTTGACATAATCTGGGTTGCAGCTTTTGTGGAACCCCAAGGTCATGTGAAAAGATTTCTCTAGAAAGCACTTTTCTGATTATCCAAACCTACTCAGGGATTGTGAGAATTCAGAAGCAGGTGGACGGTTCAGTTCAAGGAGTTCAACTTGTGGAGGTGTGCCGTCATCAGAAAACAGTCACAAGGGCAGGTGTTGTAGCACAGTGCGTTGAGCTGCTGCCTGTGACACCCACATCCCACATGGGCCCAGTCTGAGTCCAGCTGCTCTCTTTCCAACCAGCTTCCTGCTACTGTGCCTGCGAAGGCAGAAGACTGCCCAACTTCTTGGGTCCCTGCCCCTGCCGTGGGAGACCACGGTGCAGTTCCTAGCCTCCTCCCACCCAGCGACAGCGTATGCCATCAATTGGGGAATGAACCTGCAGACACAAGATCTCTTTCTAACTCTACCTTTCAAATAAATAAATACATCTTTAAAAAATTACAAGCAACATGGAACTAGTTAAATATGTATCATGGCGTGAATTCCAGGGCTTTGTCATGGAGCCCTGACATCATGTGGCTTACACACTTTTATTCTCCATCGAGGTTGGCATTGGCTCTGCCGCTCAGCGAGGTCAAGGAGAGCCGCCCAGTTCTGCCGGCCTCTCCCACGGCTGAGTTCAAGGTAGGGCTGAGGGGATGAGAACATAGGCACTGCACCTGTCTCCTTGGCCAGAAGAAAACTTTCCCTAAACTTCCTCGGAGACGCCTGCTTACCTGTCCTTGGCCAGGACTCCATCAGCCGTAGCGCCAAGAGAAGCAGGGAGACAGATGGTGTACGTTTGCTGACCCCTACTCTGGGAAGCAGCAAGGGACAGAGGGTTGGGAACGGTGGGCCATGGTATCACCCCTCCTGCTGGGAACAAAGCCAGGCGCGGCACAAGTCTGAAACCACAGCCGCAGGTCTTGCGAAATTCGAGAGAAAGCCGCGTCTGCAGGTTCCGCACGGACAGACTTTCAGGATGAGGCTGGCCTCCAGACTGACCCACGTACAGGCCCTGTCCTTTACGCAGGGCAGGAGCACTGGAGGCCGGCGTGGCCTCGGGGTAGGCTCCCCCGGCCCCGGGTGAACATCCCAAGCGGAATCCGGTGTGGGCGAGCGAGGGCGGCCTGCAGCTGCGCTGCCGCCCCTGCGCCGCGAGGAGAAGGCGGCCGGCGGCCGGCGCCTCCGTCTTGCCGGCGCGCTGCTCGCGGGCTGAGGCCGTGCGCTCCGAGGTGGGTGCGGATCCCCGGCCGCGGGCCACTCAGGTGAGGGGAACGGACCCGCGTCCTTCCCAGTCGGACTTCTGGGGTCGGGGGAGGGGTGTTTGTACATCAAGGACATCCTCTGCGAGCCCCTCGATCGGCGGCTTCCGGTAGGGGAGAGGCGGGAAAGGGCGCGCGTCGCCGGGGCGCCCCCTGGAGGGCGCTCCTCGCCAAGGCGCGGGCGGCTCTGTGCTCGGCTGGGCCGCGGCCGCGGGGCCCGGGTGCAGGCGCCGGGCTCCCGGCGTCCCCTCGGGCTGACCGTCCCTTGTAACAAACGCACGCGAGTGAGCAAGGGCTTTCCAGAATGTAACTGTGTCCGGAGGAGAGGGGTGTGGGAGACCCCAAGCCTACAGGCAGCCGCCGGCGGCCGCGCGTGCTGGTGGTGCCGCAGAGGCGGACACTCCTGCGGGGCTTCACGCGTGGGCCCCAAGCTGACTCCAGGTCGGTCAGAATTGGAGCGCGTTGCGGGACACCCAGCTGATGTTTTGGCGGGAATTCCGTGAACAGAGACACCGAGACCTTCAACAGGAAGTAGTCTTTTTAAAAACTATTGTTGTTATTATTACTAATCTTTATACCGGCATAAAACTCAGTCGAATTTATATCCAGAAGCCTCAGCGCGGAACAGAGACGGGTATCTCCTTATGTAAGTAAGGCTTTAGCCTGTTTGTGTCCCTTGGAGGGCTCCGTGCGTACACTTGATTGGATGCTCCATTGTGGCCTGGCAGCCGCAGGAATTGATGCAGTCCTGCGGCTGATGATGACCCCCCCCCCCCCGGACCCACACACACACACTGAGCTGTGGGCTGTCTGGCAAGGGCTAACACCGCGGTGGCAGGTAGTTAAATACAGCTGCCGCAAGCACGGGCCACATCCCGGATCCAGGGTGTGCTTGTCTGACTGCGGAGTCAGAGGTGGTGTGAGCTCAGAGGGACCCGCAGGCCGGAGACTGAGTCAGAGTGACCTCAGCTGTGGCCGAGAAGGGCACAGGGCGCCCAGGAGGAGCAGGTGGTGGTGGCACGAGGGTCTTTAGCCTTCGCAAGGGCGAAGCCCGGCTATGCTCCCCACGCCGCCTTCCCGCTGATGCGCACTTGGGGGGGGGGGGGCTCTGGGTCACTGCCCCCCAACGTGGGAGATCCGGGGTTCCAGCTCCGAGCTGGCCTTGCTCTGGACAAAGCGCTTCAAGCCGATCAAGGGCGGTGGCTGTGGAGGCTTGGCCGCTCGGGGAGGTTATGGTTGCTGTGAGCGCCTGGACTCCCGCATTAGCGAGGTGGGCTGCACATCCGCGGCTCTGCGGTCGACTGCCCGCCAGCTGTGAGGCCGGTGCGTGGCCTCCTCAGGGTCACGTCCCTGAGAATAGTTTCTTCAAAAGCCGATCTGCTGCTGGCTGGTTGCCGAGTCGTTCAAACTCCTCCAAGCAGCCCGCGACAGCCTCGCCTCTGGAAGCCGGAGCCTGGACGCCGCGGGAGGCCCTCCGACCTGGCCGCAGCGCGGCTGCCCCAGTGGCCAGCCACTGTGAGACTTAACCACCGACCGGCAACGTTAGCTCTTAAATAGCCAGAACTAACCGCTGAGAAATCCACGGAATTTCTTGCAAGTTCGCGCGGGAGCTGGGCGGGGGGTGGGGTGGTGGAGTTCGCGCGGCGTCCCTTCACGCGCCGGTCCACGCAGCACCTTGGGCGGGCTCGCCGTCCCCCGCGGTCAGCCTTGGGCCCTGGTGGAGTCGGCCCTCTGCTGGCCGAGAGTGGATGTTCGCGTCTGGCTGCCAGGCCCTGCAGGGTAGCTGGGCCGGGCGGTGATTGCCTGTGGGAAACGTGTCTGCTCAGCTTCCACCCAAGGCGTTGTGAACGTGGACTACTGCTGACAGTGGTGCCCTGCACCCTGCCGTGGTCAGTGACTGCTGGTGAACCTGGGTGTTTGGAATGCATGCAGCTCCTGCCGGGCCTCGGAACGTGCGGTGCACACGGCTTTACGCCCTGCACATTTGAAGGCAGAAGGCCGGTTATCCTGAAACATGGAGGCTTGTGGGTTCCCCTACGTGATCAGAGAACGCTGAGAGGTTTGCTGTGACTCAGGAGAAGAAAACATGGATGCAGAGGAAACTAGGTACAGGAGAGGCAAGCTGGACTTTGAAGAATACTTAGGCGTCTCTCCCCCTCGTCCCATCCTGTGTCCCTGCTCTGTGAGAGCGGAGACAGCTGGGAGAAATAGGCTGGGACAACCTTGGAAGCAGCCTCGGTGAGAGACACCGGGAAGGAAGCACTGGCTGGAGCCATGTGGTCAGCGGTGCCGTGAGGTCCGTTCCTCATCCTGAGGTGTCGGACATCTTGGGCAAGTAGTCCACCTGACTTGGCTGTTGCAAGGTTTATTCCTTCCACTTCTTGTTTAGGGTGTATTTACAAGCCTCCTCTAGGAAATCTTGCACTTGGTTCTAATTTCTTGCTTATATGCCTCCTCACAGTAACTAACCTGTGTCAGCTCCCAGACACCGTGCTTCCTGTTGGTCTGGTCTTGTAGCCATCCAAGATCAATAATAAAGTACTACCACGGTGATCAAATATTTAATCTGGTTTATCTTACCATCCAGTGCTGTAGTAGGAGAATACTGAGTGAAGATGGTGGCTGGACACCAAATTCCCCTCACTACTTGACAGAGAGGGAGTGGGGAGCGATGAAAGGAAAGAGGGAGAGAGGATTTTCACTACTAGTAATGAAGCAAAGGAAGAATAACTGTATGCATCGGCCCTGAAAAATACAGCCCAAAAGAACCAAACAGAAGATTTTAACTCTAGCGCCCTCAGCCCACCACTGCTCTCTATCTATCAAGCAAGACAGGAGTGGGGTAATCTGACTCAGCATTTAATAGCTCCTAAGCAGGAGAGACATGGGTGCAGGTGGCTGGTAGACAGACTGGAGAAAAGTCAAAGAAATGTGGGGAGAGCCCCTGTCCCAGCAGGTGTCAGGAACAACAGAAAAAACTGTCCCGGCCCATCATGACTGTGGTTCTGGCTGAATCAGGGAAGTGATGTGAAGGCATGGGAGTAATTGCTGCCTGACTCAGGAGGAGGCTTTCTGGATATAAAACAATCTCAAAAAATAGAGCAAAGCTCAGGAACTATAACAACAGGTACACCCAGCCCCAGGAGAATTCTCCCTTCTCCCCCCCACCTGTGTTCCCAGTCTACTGAGGAGAACTTGGAGTTCAGCTCCAAAGTTGTTGTTAGAGGAAGAAAAACAGGAGGGTTAACAAGGATAATCCCTGCGTCTACGTGTGTTGCACAAGTAGCTGGCCCTAGAACAAGGTTCCTCAGTATGGACACGTGACATTTGAGGCCAGATCATTCTTTGGGCAGCTGTGGGTCGCCGTTATTTAGACCATTCTGACCTTTCCCTGCTGAACGCCAGAAGCAGCCCTGGCTGCACAGCTGTGGGTCTCTGACAGAGCATCAGCAGGGCCATCGGAGGGCAGAAGGCCGTTGAGAACCACCACTGTGGAGTGTGGACTGTGCAAGCATGAGCAAAAGGGAATGGTGTGGCAAGCAGAGGAACACACCGTGTTAACACGGTGGGTGAATGAAAGCCACCGTCACCAGGCAGAAGAGGGGGCGACAAACCCGCTCCAGAAGATAGTAACTTAATCATAAACATTCTCTTTCTCTTAAAATAATTTATTAACAATGAAACAAGGGGGCTGGCATGGTGGCATAGTAGGCTAAGCCTGTAGCCGGCATCCCATATGGCTGCTGATTCGTGTTCTGGCTACTCCTCTTCCAATCCAGCTCTCTGCTCTGGCCTGGGAAAGTAGTGGAAGGTGGACCAAGTCCTTGACTCCTGAACCATGTGGGAGACCAAGAAGAAGCTCCTGGCTCCTGGCTCCCAGCTCTGGCTGTTGTGGCTCTTTGGGGAGTAGACCAGCAGATGGAGGACCTCTGTCTCCCCCCGCCAACTTTGCCTCTCAAATAAATAAATTAAACCTTAAAACACGTAATAAAATGAAATCAAAGAGTAGGTGGTAATACAAGAACATGGCCTCTTAACGGGAGATTTTAGTGGTAAGGAAAGGGTTCCAAAATCACATGCTTGATGATGTTTGTTCACAGATAAGACAGCACCTCTTACAGAACCAATAAATTATCAAGAACTGACTGGGAAGTATTAAATATAAAGCTAGTGAAAAAGAGGAAGGTTTGACATAATGTAGAAAGCACCGAGGGAAAAGACGATTAAAGCACTAAGTTTTAGGTTACAAATATGCAGAACATGAGAATATCATCTGCCAAGTCAAATGTCTCTCCATTTTCCTGTAGGAAGTTTAGTAATCAAACCAAATGTCTTGACTACAACCACACTTCGTACCTGCCTACCTACCTGCCTGCCTGCCTGCCCTCCTTCCTTCCTGCCTTCGTAGTCAATTCATGTACTTTGACCTGGGAGGATTCTCTGTTACGTCTTTGCATTACTTTAATAACCTTTTATTATAGAAAGTGAATCATACTCATGTACACAGGGAGTAATGTAATCAGTATCCACGTGTGCATACCCTGCTCGTGTTGTCAGCACCCCTCATCTTGTTCTATCTGAAGAGCTGTTTACCTAAAGGAAAGCAAGTTGTATGTTTAATATTGGCAGAAGTTATGGTTGCAGAACAGACTATAAATATAACTTCGGATAATTTGGAAATAATGTAGCTAAGAAAAATTATGGGGATGGAATGCAAAAAAGAATAGAGAAGACAGCTCATTTCCTTGTATTTTTTTAATGTTTAAAAAAGATTTAATTGTTTATTTGAAATTCAGAGTTACAGAGAGAGAGAGAGAAACTTCTATTCACTGGTACATGTTCCAGATAGATGCAACGGCCAGGGCCGCTGGGCCAGGCCTAAGCCAGGAGCTTCATTTGGATATACCAACACAATGAGGTTTGCTCTGGTCTCTATTTTACACTGGCATCTATGTTTCAGGCAATAACAAAATCTCTTAATAACCATAACTTTACAGGAAGATTTGATGTCAGGGTAAGTACTCCAATTTTTTTTTAACTTTTTTTAAATTGCTTTACATGTTTGGTTCCTTTGCATTTCCATGTACATCTTAGAATTAGCTTACAAGTTCTAATTTTGAGAGCTGTTGGAATTTTGTTAGAGGATTGTATTAAATCTATAGGACAATTTAAGAGGAATTTCCATCTTTATGATATTCTAGTCTTGGAAAACGGCATGCTTTTCCATTTACTTGGGTGTTTCAGTTCTTTTTTTTTTTTTTTTTTTTTTCTTTTTGACAGGCAGAGTGGACAGTGAGAGAGAGAGAGACAGAGAGAAAGGTCTTCCTTTTGCCGTTGGTTCACCCTCCAATGGCCGCTGCAGCCGGCATGCTGCGGTCACTGCACTGCGCTGATCTGAAGCCAGGAGCCAGGTGCTTCTCCTGGTCTCCCATGTGGGTGCAGGGCCCAAGGACTTGGGCCATCCTCCACTGCACTCCCAGGCCACAGCAGAGAGCTGGACTGGAAGAGGAGCAACTGGGACAGAATCCGGTGCCCCGACCGGGATTAGAACCCCGGTGTGCTGGCATCGCAGGTGGAGGATTAGCCTAGTGAGCCGTGGCACTAGTGTTTCAGTTCTTAATCTCAAGTCTCTGATGTCTTTTGATA